TCTCTCCTGCTGGACAGTGGTTCTCTACCTTTAGTGGTTACAAAAATCACCTGGGGACCTCATTACACTTGGAGACCCCTATGACTTCTCTCCAAGGGGATGGATGCTGTAGCAGATGACAGCCTAATGAGCTCCCTAGTCGACTCTAGTGTGGTTGGTTCACAGAAGCCATCAGTGCTAAGGGATGTGAGTGCTTTAAGAAGAGGGAATGACATGATCCAATTTAGTTTTTTAGGAAGAGAAGTCAGACAACTGTAGAGGGTGGACAGATTTTACTGGCAGGGGAAAAATGTAAGAGCCTCTTTTATTAAGAAGACCTGAAAAAAGAAGGACTTGGTAAGAATTACAAAAAGTCCAATTGTGCATGACCTCATAAATAATTATGGCTTCCTGATGGCCTGAGCCAGGAAGCATCACCAGTGTGCCTCTATTCTACCCAGGGTTTCTGTGCTGAAAAAGTGGCAATTCCCATGTCCCTGCAGGTGAGACTAGCTGTAAGCCTTGTTCTGTGTTGAGTAATGTTACTGGTGTTTTCTGCAGTTTCCAGAGCATCAGGGTTTGGAATGCTCACTGATTGGCCCCAGAAGCACCTGGCCCTTCCCAGACTGCAATAGACACAAGGAAGCAGCAGCAGCAGCAGCAGCAGCAACAGGAGAAGTAGGAGCAGCAGCAGGAGAAGTAGGAGCAGCAGCAGGAGGAGCAGCAGGAGAAGCAGCAGGAGAAGCAGGAGCAGCAGCAGCAGGAGGAGCAGCAGGAGCAGCAGCAGGAGCAGGAGTAGCAGCAGCAGCAGCAGCAGGAGCAGCAGCAGCAGGAGCAGCAGCAGGAGTAGCAGCAGCAGGAGCAGCAGTAGCAGCAGCAGAGGCAGAGTTAGCAAAGTCATGAGCACGCCAGCAGCCAGCTCTATGGACAAAACATCAATGTACACCAAATAGTTTGCAGTAGAGAGTGGGATCAGGGCATAGAGGAATCCACTTCCTCTTTAACACATTTGAGGGCCTCTGGGTCTTTCTACTTGGTGGAAATGGGGCAAGTCACCGTGGGTCACCCAGAGGAAACTCCACACTGTCATATCAGGGGATCTCATCTGTTTTCCCATCAACATTTCCCTGCTCCTCATTGCAATACTTCTTACCAGCACCTTCTCTGGACTCAAGTGGCAAGAACTTCAGACCTCACCTTGGATCTCCTCAAATGACAGTCCACAGGTAAGCATCACTTTGTACATGGCTGGATACCCTGGGCCAAAGTGGAGAACGAGGCCCATCCTGGCTTCCCATGACTCCTAGAAAGCAGGAGAATAGGGAGTTACGTTGTCAGAAGGGAGTGGAGATGAGAGAAAACTGATTTGGAGGAATGTTTGCAGAAGGCAGAGTCAGTGAAATTATGAAATTACCTTGTTTTGAATGTGGATTCTCTCCACTTCAAGAAAACCTCATTACTATAGACTCTGACTCTCTCTCTCTCTCTCTCTCTCTCTCTCTCTCTCTTTCTCTCTCTCTCTCTCTCTCTGTGTGTGTGTGTGTGTGTGTGTGTGTGTATGTGTGTGTGTGTGTTGTGTGTCCAACCAAATTTAAGGAATACCCATCAAATGACTCAAGTGTGACTGTGACGTGCACAGTCAGAGACTAGAGCTGATAGCTTTGTAAGGGCTTCAGGATTTCTCATTGTGACTCAGTAGTCAGGATGCTCCGGAGGCCTGCAGCAGAACTGTGGGGCTGAGCTCTCTCTGCCCACTCTGGATTCACTTCTGAACTCCAGATGGACCCTCACTGCTTCTCAGTTCTGTTGCTGCCTCTATCCTGGAGACACCTATCTCTTGGAGCCATGGAACAGTTCAGGTTCTCTGAGTCCCTTCCTCTGCCTCCAGGACCATTGTCTCCTCAGCTCACAAGCACACCTGGAGCCAGGCAGCTGAGCTGACATCCTCACTGTGCATGAAGGTTCTCTGCAGTCTGATGGTTCTTCTCAGTTCTTTTGGTCATCACCAGCACTCCATGGGTGCTTCTTCCAGGGGCTTGTGGGTGCTGTGAAGAACTCAAACAGGGCAGGATCCTAGAGGCCCGAGCTGATGTAGAGGCCATGGAGGGTACTGCTTACTGGCTTACTCCTCATGGTTTATTCAGCTTGCTTCCTTACAGACCCCAGGACTACCATCTCAGGGATGGTTTTACTCACAATGACCTGCCCCCCTCCACCTTCATCAATCACTAAGATAAGGCTCTACAGGCCTGCCTACAGCTGGATCTTATGAGGCATTCTCTCAGTAGAGGTTCCTTCCTCTCAGATGACCATAGTTTCGGTCAAGTTGACATAAAGTTATCCAGCACACCATGGCACCAATAATTTAGAGACAGATACTGAAATATTTGTATATAGATTGCCTGACCATCTGGGGTTTGCATTAAAATAATCCAGGAAAGGGACAAATAAGGCTGGATCTAGCTCCATGATAAATTGTTCCCTAGCTTATGCAAAGTCCTGGTATTGACTTCTCCACACTCTGCTCACACGGTGCGGGGTGGTCAGAGGAAGGAGCTATCTTTGGAGTGTGGATGAACAGACTGGCTTTGGCAGATCATTGTCAGGCCTGGGAGGAGAGTGACTGGATTATTCTCCCACTTTCCTAAAGTTTTAAATCTTACATCAGGGAGGTTGGGGAAGAGAAAGAAAATGAGTCACCCAAAATGTAGCTCTGTGGTGCAGCCCTGTTTTCACACTGGGAGCTTCTGTTAGCTTACTGGTCACCATGACAAAATAAATACCATGAGGTCAGAAACAACCTCAAGAAGAAGGAAGTGTTATTGGAGATGCTGTTTCCTGGATGCTGAAACTGATCCTGAGCCTCACCCCAGCTGGCCTGGCAAGTGCTCTACCACTGAGATACACCACCAGCCTCCTTACCATCACCGTTATTTTGTTATTTTGAACTTTATTTGGAGACAAAGTCTCTTACTAAGTAGCCCAGACTGGTCTTAAACTTGCAATCTTCTTGCCTCAGTCTCCCAAACAGCTGGAATTTCCAGCATGTAAGAAGCATTCATTTTGGCTCGAAGTTTGAGGGAGTACAGTCCACCATGGCTAGAAAGGCAATGGGGCAGAAGCAGCCCCTAGCTGGGGTAACAGGAGTTTGAGGGAGATGGTTACATCATGTTAGCAATCTAGAAGCAGAGAGTGCTCTGGCTGAGCTCATCAGGGACAAGTTATAACCGTCCAGTCAACCCCCTCCCCAGTGACTTACTTCCTCTTGACAGACCATTCCTTCCGAAGTTTCCACAAACAGCACCCCATCTGGGGACCAAGTATTCAAAGACATGAGCCTATAAGGGACATTTTACATCCACACCACAGTGGTTTTCTAAACTTATTCTATTGTCCTCTTCAGACCTGCCCTGCTAGGATGGGAACATTTGGACACAGCCTAGTTAGTTCCCAGCTCCCTTATTTCTAATGGTTACAATACTGACATTTGTTTTACATTGTGGATAAAGTCTCTGAAATCTGTCTTCCACCAGCACTTTCCCAACCTCCCTTCTTCAGTGTTTATAAATTGTTGCCTTCTGGGAGCTGGAGGGATGGCACAGTGGTTAGAAGTACTTGCTGCTCTTTGCAGAGGACCCAACACCCACGGCTGGTGGCTCACAACTGCCTGCAACTCCAGCCCCAGTAGGTCTGAAGTTTACTGGCTCTGAAGGCAAGGGCATGCATGTATGTGTACACACACCAAAACACAAAACACACACATACATATACAAACATGCAAAAATGCCATCACATGCATAATACACAGAAATAAAAAATAAAATAAATTTAAAATACTGTTAGTTTGAATTTGTCCAGAGTTGTTGTCAAGTACTGTTCACAGGGCTATGAAGGGTATGCATGGGATTTGTGCTTAAAGGGAAAGGTAAAGTCACATAGTGGGGGAGAGAGATCACACTGGTTTGACCCACTTAAAGAGGGGCACACCCCCTGAGCTCCTGAAGTCATGGATGCAGTTTCAGATATCACAAGATGTGTGTTCATTTTCCCCAAATAGAATAGCAATCTGCTTAGAGAGAAAAATGTGTATAGTAGAAAATGAGGTCCCCCTCCCCCTGTTTTTAGCAGCAAGCTATTTCTGTCCTTTAAGTCGCATACTCAGCAGGTCTTAGGTTTCAACATTTTAATTGTGTTCTATTCTCCAGTACATGTGAAATACCATTTTCAGATAGCCAAACTTCACATGCAGCTCCTTTAGAGTACATGCTGGTTTTGAGATTCGTGGATATGCACAGCTGAGAAGCATAGCATAGAACTATGGGAATATCTGTTCTCCAAACATCACTAGGTGAAGCTGTTCTTAAGGACCACCAGGTTCCTCACAGCGGCCCTCACATCCTTGTTCCTCAGGCTGTAGATGATGGGGTTCAGCATGGGTGTCACCACCCCATAGAAGAGGGAGATGAGCTTGTCTGCAAGGTCCTGCTTGTCTGCCCCCAGTGGGTCCTTGGACTTGGGCTTCCCGTACATGAAGAGGATGGTCCCATAGAAGACAATCACCACGGTGAGGTGGGCAGAGCAGGTGGAGAAGGCCTTCTTCCTCCCCTCAGCTGAGGGGATCCTCAGAATGGTCACAAGGATGAAGACATAGGAGAAAGAAATAAAGATAACTGGGATCCCCAGAAAGATTATATTTGTCACCCCCATGCTGATCACATTGATGGAGATGTCAGCACAGGCCAGTTTCAGGACAGCCAGGATCTCACATGTAAAGTGATTGATGACGTTGTCCCCACAGAAGGGCAGCGTCATTGCAAGGGATGTTTGAACCATGGAAGCAGCAATTCCACCTGCCCAGGAGCCAGCAGCCATGGACACGTAGGCACCCTTGCTCATGACCACTGGGTATCTGAGGGGGTTGCAGATGGCCACATAACGATCAAACGCCATCATGCCCAGGAGCACACACTCCGTGGCTCCCATGGCAAAGGACAGAAACATCTGCACAGCACAGCCTGAGAAGGAGATGGTCTTCCTGGGAGTCAGGAAACTGTCCAGAATGAGAGGGACCGAGGAGGTGGTGTAGCAGATGTACAGGAAGGAGAGGTTCCCCAGGAAGAAGTACATGGGCGTGTGCAGGTGGGAGTCGAGGATGGTCACCAGGATGAGGACCCCGTTGCCCAGCAGGATCACCAGGTACATCAGCAGGATGAGCACAAAGAGGGTTTTCTCCAGCTTTGGATGGGCGGAGAGGCCCAGGAGAATGAGGCCAGACTCAGGGGAGGAGGTCTGGTTGTTACTTTCCATGCTGTCTTTTCTGTTAACTGAAGCAGATGCTTAGGTCTGAGGCCAACATTTTTGTTTTGCATAGGGCCAGGACATGAGGCATGCAGCCCCAGTGTGACAGAGTGGTCAGAAGACAGTTCTGAAAGCCCACAGCTGGATTTCTTTGAAGGGAAAAGAACAACAAAATCAATATCGAAGATTGTGAGTTAAAGATTCCAAAGTTACAAATCTGATTAATTGAATCCATCTGATCAATAAAATGACACCCATAGCGTTCGATGTCCTCATGTTGTGTCCTATGTGACAGCTCGCCTGTCACTCAGAGCAGTGACTAAATTCGTTTCGTGTTCTCCCAACTTTGTGGCAGATGTTAGAGAAATAAGTAAGTTGGGAGTGTCTGCCTTAAAACCTTGCGCTCTCTCTCTCTCTCTCTCTCTCTCTCTCTCTCTCTCTCTCTCTC